TCTTCCCGGAGTCCTTCCGCAGCCACAAGTGCGACGTACGGGTCCTCAGCGACGCGCTGGGCCTCAACGTCGACTGGGCCCGGCAACGGCAGCTGCACCCGGGTCGGCGGCGCCCAGCTTACGCGGCGCTGCCCAGAGGAAAGGTGCGGGAAGTCACGGCGGAAGCGACGGGGGCTGCAGAGGCCGTGGAGCATCCCCTCTGGACCTTCCGTCCGTCAGCCGTCCTCTGACTGCGCCTCGCTCACAGCAGGGAGACCACGGGACAGCCATCCAGACACAGGACAACGCAGCCCTCCGCCGGCCCGCATTCTGGCCCATACGGGAGAACCGCCACCGGTGGCGCTGCTGTCCTGCACAAGTGGCACCTCCTTTGGCAGGCTCCTCCTGTCCACGGCGGGCCCGGCCCACTGCTGTGAAGGTTGTTCCCCCAGCTCCTGCGACGGAGTACATCCGACGACTGGCGGCCTTGCTCTGGCGGCGTGCCCCCCCCACCAGGCAGGCGCCATCCCTTCGACTACATTCCGACTACGCCATGTTGGGTCCTCGACTGCCTGTGTCGCCACCTGGCTCTCCTCCTCCTCCTTTGCATTCATTTGGTTTGCGGCTATTGGCTGCGCCCCCCCCCCCCCCCCCCTTCACGACGACTGCAGTGGCGGGCCCCTCGACCACCGCCTGCGGGTGGGCCCAGGTAAGGCACACTCCTGCACAAGTGGTTCTTCATGTGGCGGGCTCTGCCTTCCCACGACGGGCCTCCCGCTGCGCGACACCGACGACCTTTCCCCGCAGACACGCCCCTGGCAACGCTCTGTTGGGTCCTCGGCAGTCTGCGTCGCCTGGCCCACCTGCGCCTCTCCTTCCTCCAGTATTCACTTGATCTGCGGCTATCGGCTGCGCCTTCCCGCAACTGGTCAAGGCCACCTGAGGTGCTGGCTGGAGGGCCTGAGGGAGACGGTTCCCTGTACAAGTGGTTCATCCTTTGGCAGGACTTCCCCCCGCACGGTTAGTCTTCGAGCACATGAGATGCTCTGTGAGTGAGGTTTCCTGTGCTCCTCCTGTCTCCCTCTGCCTTCTTTTCCGCGCCTGTCTTCGCCTCTGCTTCTTCTTTCCGCCTTCCCCACCGGTCTTTCGCAGGCCTGCGTCTCGGGAGCTGGCGCCACTGTGCGACCTTCCGCTGGCCTTCGTGTCTGCCGCCGTCATTGCTCGGCTTAGTGAGGTTCATTTTGTTCCTCGCATGTGCATTCCGGCGTTGGCTTTTGGCCCGCTGGCAATTATCTTGCTTGTCGCCCCAAGCTTGCTACGACCCGCTCACTGGAATCGTCCTTGGAGCCGCAGATCAAAAAGTATCCCCACCAGTCTCCTTTAGGTGAATTTGTCGCTGGGTGCCCCGCTTTGAATGGACTCGCCGCTGGCGCGCTCGCCTGCGGCCGCTGACTAAAAAGTACCCCCACCAGCCCGTCTAGAAATGAGTCCCAGGGGAGTGGAGGTCATGAGGGAAGCGGGGGAGCATGCAGAAGGACAAAGGGCGGGGTGAGCCGCCATATGCCCCAAGAGGGGGAGGATGTAGGAGGAACCGTCGTCGTCGGAGTAGGAGAAGGAAGAGGAGGAGCAGGAGGAGGAGCAGGAGCAGGAGGGGGAGGAGGAGGAGGAGGATGAGGAGGAGGAGGAGGACGAGGAGGATGAGGAGGAGGAAATGGAGGACTGCGAGGACGAGGGGGGCAAGAAGGAGGAAAAGGAGAAGAAGGAGGAGGACGACGAGGAGAAGGAGGGGGAGGGGGGGGGGAGGGAGGAGGAAGAAAAAAAGGAGGAGGGGAAGGAGGAAGAGGACAGTGGCGAGCTTGGGGGCCTCTTGGGCCGTCTTTGTGGCCTCTTGGCGGTCCCGGGGGCCTCTTGCGTATCTCGGGGAGCCTCTTGGGGCCTCTTGGGGGCCTCTTGGAGGCCTTTTTGGGGCCTCTTGAGACCTCTTGGGGCCCTCTTGGGGCGCTCTTGGGGCGCCCTTGGGAGCCTTCGGGGCGCTCTTGGGGCCATCTTGGAGGAGATATATCAAAGAAGGGGGGGGCCGAAATCCTTCCAAAACCTTAGGAAAGTCAATGTTTTGTGCGTTGTTTGCTTTTTCGCTCTTGGAGCCGTCTTGGGCCATCTTGGGAGCCCCTTGGGGCCTCTTGGGGATCTCTTGGGAGTTTTTTGAAGGCCTCTTGGGGGCTTCTTGGGGGCCTCTTGGGGCCCTCTTGGGGCGCTCTTGGGGCGCTCTTGGGGCGCTCTTGGGAGCATTCGGGGCGCTCTTGGGGGCATGGTGGAGGAGATCTATCAAAGAAGGGTGGTCGTATATTAGCCTTGCCCCTCTAGAGTGCCTCGAATCGCCTCTTAGGCCCCCCCAAGAGGCCTAAATCATTCCAAAACCTGAGGAAGACCAATGGTTTGTGCTTGTTCGTTTTTTCGCTCTTGGAGCCGTCTTGGGCCATCTTGGACGCCCCAGCGACCCGCGGAACCCCTCGTCCAGGCCGGCGGGGAGGGGTAAAGGGGAGGGGGAATTCCCCCCCCGAAGGGAAAGAAGGGGGTAGGCAGAGGAAACGCTCTAGACCACCTACGCCCTAAAGGGCTGGTGGGGTTTCGATGGAGCGTGGCTTCGGGAACGCGAATGTGGATTCATTTGAATGGGAACGTGGCCTCGGTGACGCGAACATTGCGTAATCCCACCAACCCTCTGGGCGTCGGTGGTCTAGAGAGCTTCCTCTTTCAACCTCTTTCTTCCCCTTCGGGGAAGGGTTCCCCTGGACCTGCACGGAGGGTTCCGCGGGTCGTTGGGGGCGTCCAAGATGGCCCAAGACGACGCCAAGAGGGCTTCAGAGAGCCCAAGATAGCTTCCAAGATGGCTCAAGATAGCGCAAGATGCCTCAAGATGGACCCCAAATGCTCGCCCGGGCACCCCCAAGCACCCCCGGGCACGCCCGGGCACCTGGGCACCCGGGCACCCGGGCACCCCCGGGCACCCCCGGGCACGCCCGGGCACCCGGGCACCCCCTGGCACCCGGGCACCCGGGCGTGCGGCGAAAATTGGCGGCAAACCTGACAGAGGCAAGCACTGATTAGGGAATATATACATGTATGCGTTGTGCTTGCACATTAATGATCTCTTGCTGCGTTCAGTGCCGTATGTTGTACTTGTGCTCAAGTTTTTTCCAGGAGAGGTTTTCCCTGATGGGGGCGCAGTCCGCCCTCATCGAGACCTTCCAGTCTGCAGGGATCCGTGCTCTCGAGCTGCTGGCGCTGCGTCAGTCCCTGATCTCGGCGGTGTCCCAGTGCCCCGCGGTCTCGCTGGCGTGCCCGCCCGCGAACGTCTCTTGCCCCGTCCAGGTCTGCCCAGCGCTGGCCTGCCCGACCCCAGCGTGTCCCGTGCCGCTGGTGGATCTCTCCTGCCCGCCTGCAGGAGCGGAGCTCGTCCCTGACGGGCTCGACATCCCCTCGGCCTGCTGGGGATACCTGGCAGGAGCCTCTGCGGGGCTCGGGCTGGGTGGCGCACTCTGGCGGCGGGGCGGCCGCGTCGACGCCGAGGCGACAGGGGTCGGAGATCGAGCGCGAGAGCAGCTGCAGCTGATCAGGAGGCGCAATGGCGAGAGTAGGTGACTACGTGCTCTTCCAGTATGACCTGCCTGGGGCGCCGGTGTATCATGAGAGGCTCGTGACAGGGGTCTCGATCGGGGATCCAGGTCTTGTCAGCACGTTCTCGCCAGACGGGGACCACTACGCCGAGTACACGACGTCCGACGACCTCAGAGATGTGCGGTGGTCGGGAGCGCAGGGCGCCACCCCCCCTGGGGTCAACCCCGCCCACGTCTACCGCTTCCGACAGGTGCCAACGGCGGCCGAGGTCCAGCAGCTGATCCGCGAGGGCTCGCTCCTGATCGGGGGGGTGGCGCCGCCTGCTGCCGTTGTTCCTGCCGCCGCAGCGGCGCCCGTGGCGGCCCCCCCCGCGGCGGCCGCACCGCAGGGGGCCATCGTGCCTCGAGGCGCTGGCGTGGTGGGAGGGGTCCCCCGCGCCGGGGCCGCGGCCGCCCCCGCAGTGGCTGGCACAGTTTGGCTGGCTACTGAGGACTTCCAGGGGATGCGGCGCGGCGAGCAGATGCCTGATCCTCTCCCTCAGGGTGCCGTCGTACACGGGGAGATGGCGCTGGTGCCTCATGGAGGGGGCTTCGTCGGAGCGCGCCAGGTGGCCCTAGCCGACGTGGATGCCTTCGTCGTGAACGACCTGCGCGTGCTGCCTGTGCGTTTCAACCAGCAGGGGGCGCGCCGTCGCCCTTACAGCGAGGCCGTGGACATGCAGATCGTGGATGAGCCTGAGGGAGGCATCATGCTGCAGGGCCCTCGCACTACGGATTGGGTGCTGAGGTCGTATCGGGATGCCGGGCTCACGCCAGTCACTCACCACTCGAACTGGCTGAGGTCGGCTCGCATCCCTGATGGAGATCGTTCAGTTCACGAACACGAGGTGCTGAGCCATGTGCTGGAGGCAATCGTGACCGTGGACCAGCTCAACGCGCCTGCGCTCCAGAGCGCCGAGCTCGTCGTGCGCAGGATCCAGGTCATCGAGGATGCTCACTCCGCCTCGCCCTCGAACCCAGACTACTCCGCGGCCGATGAGTTCATGGGCTGGGCCACGCATCGCCAGGGCGCCGCCGTCGCGCCCGACCTGCAGCGCCACGTGGCCGCGGGCATGCGCGACAGGGCAGCGATTCTCAAAGAGGCTCGCAAGGCGAAGGAGGAGCAGAAGCTGCGCCGCGGCAAGGGGGGCAACAGGACCGACGCCAGCGGTGCTGGCGGGCAGGGATCATGACGGCTCCCAGTCGCGGGGGCTGGCCAGCCCGCGACGTGCACAAGGCCTGTGGTAGTGACAGTGGACGCCCTCCTGGGCTGAGTGCAGCGGACGATCGCCAGCGTGATCTGTTCCCGCTGCCCTCCATTCAGCCGACTCCGCCTACTTCTGCGCCAGCGTCTACGTCGACGAGGCGAAGGCTGGCACATAGGCGGCAGACGGAGCAGTGTGCCAATGATGCCATTGCGGGTCTCAACGCTCTCCATCCTCCGCGCGAGCAGCGTGGGCCCATCACGGCGGCTCAGCGGCTTGCTACCGCCACCATTTTGAACGAGGTCAGAATGGCCCCGAAGTCTGACACTCACTTTTCTCGCCGTGGAGCCGCGAAGGAGCTCCTGGCCTCCAGCCTGTCCTACACCGCGGACGAGGCACCGAGTCCCGTGGTAAGGTACGTCTGATCCCGAGTCGACATCCCAGAAGTGGGTGCGGTCATACCTCCTGTTGAGTCGGTGCTCGACGGGATCGGGAGGAGCTACGTGCTGGACTACGAGCAAGCCATGATGAAGACTCCTGACGAGTGGTCCCGCGTCTTGGATAGCGAGCCGCCCGTCACCCCCTACATGGATGAAGTTTTGAAGCGTGACCCAGCGGCATACCACACTTTCATCGGCGACCTGGTGAAGGCTAACATGCTGGGTTTCACGTACCGCCCAAAGGATTTAGTCACTCCCTTTTTCGTGGCCAAGAAGAGTGGAGCGCAGCGTCTAGTGTGGGACGCTCGAGTACCAAATCGACGTGTCCGCGACCCGCCGCCGCTGGCCATGGGGACCTCGGCGGCGCACGGTCGCCTACAGCTACCTGATGATCGTAAGGAGGACGGCAGCTTCAACACCAAGCTTTTCTGCGCCCAGGCTGACGTGCGCAACTACTTCTACGCTCTCGGCCTGAGGGAGGAGCTGGGACTGTTCTTCTCGCTGCCTCCGGTGTCGCAGGCTTCGTTGTCGCAATGGGGGGTTGAGGCAGTGGACACTCCCGAGGGCCCCTCGGGGGGCTGGGTGTGGCCGTTCCTGCGGGTCGTTCCGATGGGCTGGTCTTGGGCTTTCTGGCTTGGGCAGCGTGCGAATGCGCACGTCTGCTGCTCTGCCTCGGGGCTCGGGTTCCCGCGGGTGCTGACCGATCACGGTCCGGTGCCCCCGCTCGACGGGGGGGCCCCTTGCCTCCTCCCCTATTGCGATAACATCAACGTAATCGGCACCGACCCTGTCAGATGCAATGTTTTGATGCACCAGATCTGCGACGCCTGGAGGAAGCATGGCGTGCAGATTCACGAGGTGGTCGAGGCCACTGACGTCTTCACCAGCCTCGGCCGTCTGATCGACGGCGCGTCTGGGCGAGTTTTCTCACGGCCCGAGCGCTCCGAGCGCCTCCGCCAAGCTTCACTGTGGCTAGAGCAGCGCCCTAGAGTCACGGGGAGGGAGGTGGAGAGGTACGTGGGTCATCTCATTGATCATCTGATGCTGAAGAGGGAGCTGCTCTCGATCCTCAGGAGTTTGCATGATTTCGTCAGAGAGTGCTATCACGTGCGAGCCCGTCTCTGGCCCTCGGCTGCCCGCGAAGTCGAGCAGCGCCGTCGCCTGCTGCCGCTGATGGCTGCCAACCTTCGGCTTCAGTGGTCGCCGACGGTCTTCGCTTACGACGCGTGCTTGACGGGTATGGCCACGTGTCAGACAACACTGTCATCAGATCTTGTCAAGCGCATCGGGTCAGTCAGTGAGAGATGGAGATATCGCATGCCTTCGGCTATCTCGGCACGCCGTTCTGCTCTGGGAGTCCGTTCTGGAGGCTGTGAGGCCTCGGAGGGGCCGTTCGACGTCTTCAGCGACATCGAGACCGTCAAGGCCCCCAAGAGTACCAGCATGGACCTCATCAAGGACCCCTGGGAGCTCAACCCGCAGTTCACAGAGGTGCCCGCACAGGCTCTGCAGGGCCCCCAGTGGAAGCAGGTGGTCTCGGCCAGGGTTCACGCCAAGGAGCCCATCACTATTATCGAGGGGAGGGCTTCGAACATGACATCTCGTCATATCACGAGGGCCCAGGCCTCCTTTGGTCTCCGACATCTACGTTTTGGGGACAACCTCGGCACAGTGCTCGCGCTCGGACGAGGGCGATGCTCCTCCTATCCCCTTCTGCTGTGCTGCCGCAGAGAGGCTGCCTACTCCGTCGCCACTGCGTCGCGGTTCGAGCATCGGTGGATACCTTCGGAGCTCAACCCCTCCGATGAGGGGTCGAGGCGCTGGGATGCCAAGTCGGGAGGTGTCCCGCCTGCCCCGCGCGGTGTCCGTCAAGCGCCCAGCTGCCAGCCCCAAGATCGCGCAGAAGAGCTTTTTGAAGGGCAGGCCGTTTGTTGGGGCGACGAAGGAGGAGAGGATTGCTCACCGTCTGCGGGCCTCTGGGCCGTTCACGATGGTGGGAGAGGACGAGAGGAGCTTCCTGGAGTGGAACGCGGTGGCGCCCGAGACCCAGGCATGCTACAAGGGCGCCCTCGACGACTTCCAGACGTTCGTGGACCTTTTCGAGCTGCCGCTGCACACCGCGGCTCAGGTCGACCTGCCGGTGATGAACTACGCCGACTACGCCTGGAGCATCGGGCTCGAGAGAGCCGCCGTCCTGAAAACATATGCCGCGTACATCTCGGCGCACCCCGACTTTTCCCGAAAGGGGTCGCTCCGCCTGCCGCGTTTCTGTCGGGCCCTCCAGGGTTGGAGGCGCCTGGACCCAGGCCAGACGCGCCCGCCCATGCCCTGGCAAGTGGTCGCGCTGGTCGCGCTGGCGATGGCCACGCAGCTGGGGTCCCCGCGCGCGGCGCTCATGGTGGTGACGATGTTCTGGGTGTACCTCAGGCCCTCCGAGGCCGTCGGCCTTCGCGAGCAGGACCTCTTCCTCCCCTCGGGCTCGTGCGCGGACTACGGCTTCAACCTGCACCCCAGCGCGAGGGGCGAGTGCAGCAAGACCAGCTTGTCGGACGAGAGCCTGCTCCTCGATTCGGTCGAGGTGCCCTGGCTGGGCCCGCTGCTGGCGCGCGCGAGGTCGGGGGGCCCGCAGGCGCCGCTGTTCCGTCTCACCGCCGCGCAGCTGGGCGTCATGTGGCGTCAGGCGCTGGAGCTGGCCGAGGTGCCCACCAAGTACGTGCCCTACCAGCTCCGCCACGGTGGCCCGTCGCACGATCGCCTCAAGAAGTATCGCTCCATGGACGAGATCAAGAGGCGCGGGCGGTGGGCCAGCGACTGCACGATGAAACGCTACGAGGCCCACGCGCTGGTGCAGCAGGAGCTGGCGGCACTCCCAGTCGACGTCCGCCGCAGGGCCGAGGGGGCGCCCGCGAAGCTGCACGCCGAGCTCGAGAGGCTCCTGGCGCGGCCCCAGAGGCCGCGGACGGCCACGCCGTCGGCGCGGCTGCAGGCGGCACCTGTGCCCAGCATGCGCCGCCCCGCACCTTCTGCCAAGGTGCCGCGGCCCGCGCCCGTGCCAGGCCGTTCGTCGAGCTCATGTGCGGCTCCGCCGCCTTGGCCAAGGCCGTCCACGCCGCCGGCTGGGCTTCGGAAGGCTGGGGCAATGCTGACGACCCGCGAGCCGACCTTCTTGATGAGTCCCTCGTCGACAGTCTGGTTTTGAGGATCTCACGGAACGGAGTCGCAGGGGCGCATGTCGGCCTGGACTGCAAAACGTGGAGCCGGGCAAGGAAGAATGATGGACAGGGTCCGCCGCCGCTCAGGGACGATGCGAATTTGCACGGCCTCCCTCTGCTGGCGGCGGCAGACGCTGAGAAGGTGAGGATCGCCAATCGTCTGCTCGCTAATGTTCTGCGCCTGCTGGCGGCGGCCGTCGAGGCGGGAGTCCCCTTCTCTCTCGAGAACCCTCGCACGTCTCGCCTCTGGCTGGTCCCAAAGCTGCTGGACATGGCCCGCGACGCTCACGCCGAGTGGGCTTCTGTTGATTATTGCCAGTATCAGGTCCCCTGGAAAAAGGCGACTACCTTTTTGCTTTTCAATTGGCTGCCAGCGCAGCCTTCCCTCCGCCTGTGTTCAGGCTGTCAAAAAAGGTGCAGTGCAACAGGTAAGGCACACATAACGCTGAAGGGTAAAGACCCGCTCGGTGTGTTCTGGACTTCAAGGGCGTGCCCTTACCCCGCGGCGCTCTGCAAAGATCTAGCAGCGCTGGTGGTGGCCAAAGCCAAGACACTGGTTGGCAGTGGGTAGGGGCTCAGAGTCTTGAATGCCGCTCGCTCAGTCCGTTCAGGTCAGCGCCATCGTGCTGCCCTGTCACCGCCTGCCGCTCGTTCTCTTGATTTGCTTCGAAGCAGCGGAGCATGCCGAAGGAAAAGTTGATCTTGGCACGGGTAGCAGCCTAAGCTCATGCGTTGTGCTTGCACATTAATGATCTCTTGCTGCGTTCAGTGCCGTATGTTGTACTTGTGCTCAAGTTTTTTTCCAGGACCCGCCTGCCGTCCCCATCTTCCACCTACCTGGGCGTCACTTCGCCCCACAGGGGGCTCAGAGTCTTGAATGCCGCTCGCTCAGTCCCTTCAGGTCAGCGCCATCGTGCTGCCCTGTCACCGCCTGCCGTTCGTTCTCTTGATTTGCTTCGAAGCAGCGGAGCATGCCGAAGGAAAAGTTGATCTTGGCACGGGTAGCAGCCTAAGCTCATATATATATATATGTGTATATATATATATGTACATATATATATATACATACATACATACATACATACATACATACTCACGTGTCCCACGGCGGCGCAGAAGTTCCGAGCACGCGATCCAGGCGCGGTAAATGAGACGTTTCTGGGTTCCGCCCACCTCGCGCGGACCTCGACAATGAACAGGAGGAAGTAGGACATAGAGCTGCAGCGTGGAGTTGCAAGTGGCTGATGGGGCATAAACGGTCATCCTCTAAAAATAATCCAAGTTCGGAAAATCAAGACCAATGCTTGCGCGAAGTTCAATGTCGTTGAAATTCTGAAGTTCGGAAAAAAGTTCGGTTCAACTCCGCATGGCCAGCGCGGGCGGGGCCTGCAACATTTGTTGCGCGCGTCAGTCGCATCCAGCCGGGGCAGGAGTGGAATGTGACTCGGCGTAGCTCGCGCTCGATATCATGCATGGGCAGGGCCTCGCGCGCGGCGCATTGGTGGGGCCTCGTGGCCGCCCTGAAAACGCCGCGGCATTTCGCGCGCAACGCGCGCGCGCGGGCCTTCGCGGGACGCGCGGAGAAGTGCGCGGCACTTCGCGCGAGGCGCGCGGGCGGGGCCCCGCGGCGGCACCTCTCGCGCAACGCGTGGGGGCGATCCTGCAGCCGCGCCGAAGTATCTGCGACGCCCCGCGCGCTTCGCGCGGAAGGCCCCCCCGCGGCCGCGCGCGTCGGTCCTGCGTCGCCGCGCGCGGCGCGCGCGCGGGGTTGCGCGGCCGCGCTGGAGGGCCGCCGCTTGTCGCGCCGAGCGCGCTGGCGGGATGATCGCGCAAGGCTGATCCATGTTCTGCGGCAGACTCACGGGAGCGGAAAACACGGCGGCGCGTCTTGCAAAACGCATGGGCGGGACTGCCGCGCGCCGAGGGATCTGTGGCCCCTCTCGCGCATCGCGCGGGCGGGGCCCCGCGGCCGCGCCGCGGGCCCGCGCGCCCTTGCGCGGCGATCGCGGAGGGGGGGGGGGGGGGGCGCGCGCGGCCGCGTCGCAGGGCGCGCGCGCGCGCGCCCCGCGCGCGGCCTGCGAGAGGGGTCGGCGTCGCGGCCAAGACTCAGTCTGCGCGCCCCCGCGGGCGACGCGCGGGCAGGGCCTCATGGCCGCCCCGATGCGCTGGCGCGCCCGCGCGCCCGCGCGCGGCGCGCCCCCCCCCCCCCCCCGCCCTCGCGCTTCGGCTCGGCGCGCGGACGGGGCCGCGGCGCTTCGCCGGAGATCCCGCGGCCACTCCCCCGCGCGCGAGGCTTCGCGGCGAGGGCGGGGGGCCCGCGCGCGCCCCCCGCGGGCGACGCGCGGGCGGGGCCCAGCGGCTACGCCCGTGCACTGGCGCGCGCGGCCGCGCGCGCCCCCTCGCCCCAGCCCCGAGCTCGGCGCGCGGACGCGGCCGCGGGGCCGCGCCGAAGGTGCCGCGGCCACCTGCGCGCCAAGCGCGCGCGAGGTTCCGCGGCTAGAACGAGGAGTCTGCGCGCCCCCTCGGGCGACGCGCGGGCAGGGCCCCATGGCCGCGCGCAAAACTTGCGGGCCCCCCCGCGCCGCGCGCGGGCGTGGCCGCGCGGCCTCGCCGACAAATCTGCGGCCCCCGCGCGCGGCGCACCAGCGAGGCTTCGCGGCCGCGCCGACAAAACCAGAGGGCCGCCGCGCCTGGGCCTGCGGGGAAGTAGGGGCCCTTCAGTGCGATCGGAGAGAGCTCTTCGCTGTCCAGAACTGATGATGGGCGCGCGCGCTAGTGCCACCCGCCGCGGCCTCGCGCCAGGGCCTGGCGCAGGGCCCGACGGCGGTTCGCCGACGCGCGCCGCGCGCGGCCCCCGCCCGAAAAGCGCCCTCGAAGCGCCACGCGCGCACCCGCGGTGGCCCCCGGGAGCTTGTAGAGCGCTGGTGCCCCATGGCATCGCGGGCCTACTCTTCCGGCGCGTTGCGCTTTGTTTCAAGACGCGGCCCCCTGCAGGCCGTCGGCCCGACCCATGAGTGCAGTCCGTCGGGCCCTCGGGCCATGGGGGGCGCATCCCCCGTGGGTGCCGCGCTTTCGCTGTTCGTTTGTCTCGCGGCGCCCGGGGGCAAGTGAATTTGGCGCCACTCGGCGACGGGCCCGCGAAATCTGACCTCCTCGGCGGCTGGGCGGGGCGCGGGGCGCCCCGGCGGCGTCGCGCGCGCGCGCGCCGGAGACGGCCAGTTAACAGGCTGCCCTGGCGGGGGGGGCAAGGCCCGCTGGGGCCTTCGACCCGAGTGGGGGGAGAGCCGGGGGGGGGGGCGAAATCTCGGCGCATTTGTTCCCAACTCCCGTATCTCCAAACTGTCGAACTGTTTGATGTTTCTCGAGCTCGCGAGGCCGCCGAATTCTTTTTGTCAAACTCCGGCGAGGCCGCCGAACTTGTTTCAAATTCCGGCGAAGCGGCCCCGAAGGGGCCCCCGGGGACGGGGCAGGGGAAATTATTTCAAAGAGCGTTTTCCAAGTTTGTCAATTGGTTCATCGGTTTGTTTGTTTTGTTTTCAAACTTTTTGTATATCTTCGATCCCCTGCGAGGCCGCCGAACTTCTTTCGAATTCTGGCGAGGCCGCCAAACTTTTCTCGATGTCCAGCGAAACCGCCCCGGGGGGCCCAGGGGCGGGTCGCGGGCGGGGGCGCTCTGCAATGCAGGCCCGTGGGAGGGGGGGGCCCGCGGGGGGTGGGGCGGGGCTCAGAGTGGCCCGGCGCTGGAAGCGGCAGAGCGCGCAGCTCGTGGCCTCGCGGCCCCGCGCGAGGCGGCTGGGGCCGCGCAGCGCGGCGCGCCCCTTTCTCTTGCTGGCGCCGGAGGCGGCGGGGCTCGCGGCGCATTGCTTTTCTCCCCGCGCGAGGCGGCTAGGGCTGCGCAGCGTGGCGTTCATGCAGCGGCGCGGTTCCTGGCGGGAGCGATGTGCCCGTTGCCCCGTCGGGGCCCGTCGGTCTAGGCCTCCTAGATGGGATCGGGGCAGATGGGGTCGG